ACGTTTTTCTAATGACAACGTTTTTCTAATGTTTGACAACGTTTTTCTGATGACAACGTTTTTCTAATGACAACGTTTTCTCGTTTTTCTCAACGTGAACGTTTTTCTAATGACAACGTTTTTCTAATGACAACGTTTTTCTAATGACAACGTTTTTCTGATGACAACGTTTTCTAATGACAACGTTTTCTTGAGAATAACGTTTTTTCTAATGACAACGTTTTTCTAATGACAACGTTTTCTCAACGTTTTTCTAATGAACGTTTTCTAATGACAACGTTTTTCTCGTGACAACGTTTTTGACAACGTTTTTCTAATGACAACGTTTTTCTGATGACAACGTTTTCTGATGACTTTTTCTGATGACAACGTTTTTTCTAATGACAACGTTTTCTATGACAACGTTTTTCTAATGACAACGTTTTTCTTTTTTCTAATGAAACGTTTTCTGACGTTTTTCTAATGACGTTTTTTCGTTTTTCTAATGACAACGTTTTTCTCGTTTTTCTAATGACTTTTTTCTAATGACAACTGACGTTTTTCTAATGGTTTTTCTGATAACGTTTTCTAATGACAACGTTTTTCTGATGACAACGTTTTGACAACGTTTTTCTAATGGACAACGTTTTTCTGATGACAAAGTTTTTCTAATGACGACGTTTTTCTCAACGTTTTTTCTAATGAAACGTTTTTCTAATGACAACGTTTTTCTAATGACAACGTTTTTTCTGATGATTTTTCTAATGACAACGTTTTTCTGATGACAACGTTTTTCTAATGACAACGTTTTTCTAATGACAACGTTTTTTCTGATGACAACGTTTTTCTCAAACGTTTTTCTGATGACAACGTTTTTCTAATGACGTTTTAGGTCTTTGCACGTGTCACGGGAGACTTGCATCGTTTGTATTTGTGTTTGTATCATTGCATCATCTTTCACGATAAATCCTAAATGAGAAATTGAGATGGAAAGATAGCGAGGACATGTAAATATTACATGATAAAAAACGGAGAGGGAAAGAGAAAGAAAAATAAAAGAAAGATGGGAAAAAAACGTAAAAAAACGGAGAGGGAAAGAGAAAGGAAAATAAAAGAAAGATGAAAAAACGATGTCTGCACCAAGTTATACCTACGTTCGACGCAGCGAAACATAAGAAGCAAAAGAAAAAAAAAAAGATAAATAAATAAAAACAACAAAAAGACAGAAATAAACATACACAAAATATCAAATCACAATAAAAAAAAAAAACAACAACAACAACAACAAAACAAGAATAAACATACACAAAATATCAAATCACAATAAAAAAACAACAACAAAACACAGAAATAAACATACACAAAAATATCAAATCACAATAATAAAACAAAACAACAACGACAACAAAAACACAGAAATAAACATACACAAAACATCAAATCACAATAAAAATAAAAATAAAATAACAACAACAACAACAAAAACACAGAAATAAACATACACAAAATATCAAATCACAATAAAAAAACAAAACAACAACAAAAAACAAGAAAATAAACAAAACAAAATATCAAATCACAATAAAAATAAAAACAAAACAACAACGACAACAAAAAACACAGAAATAAACATACACAAAATATCAAATCACAATAAAAAAAAAAAAAAAAAAAAACAGAAATAAACATACACAAAATAACAAATCACAATAAAAAATAATAAAAAAACAAAAAACACAGAAAAACATACGCAAAATATCAAATCACAATAAAACAACAACAACAACAAACACAGAAATAAACATACGCAAACATCAAATCACAATAAAAAAAAAAACAACAACAACACAACAAACACAGAAATAAACATACGCACATCAAATCACAATAAAAAAAAACAAACAACAACAACAACAACAAAAAAACAGCAATAAACATACACAAATATCAAACCACATTTCGTTTGCCCACGAGACAGAAAAGGAAAAAAATATCTTTTTTTATACTCGACGACATGTCACAATGCGGACAAAGCAATCATTGTCATTGTCTGTCCTGTCAAGCTGACGCGGTTGGCAGTGACAGTCGCCGCCCCTGTCAACGGCGATTGCCTTACTGAGGAGGATCTTGTGTGTGTTTCGAGATGCATTCAGTTGTTTCAATTGCTGTGTGTCTATTTCTGGAAGGGAAAGTTAATGGATTTGTTTAATGGGTGAAAGAATAAGAGGGGGAGTTTCATTTTTTGTTATCTATTTTTTTTTTATTTTTTATTTTTTTATTTTTTTTGTTGTTGATTCTATTTTTTCTTTCTTTTTTTCTGTCTCCCTTCTTTTTTTATTTCTATTTCTTTCTTTCTTTCTGTCTCTGTCTCTGTCTCTGTCTCTGTCTCTGTCTCTCTCTCTCTGTCTGTCTGTCTCTGTCTCTCTCTCTCTCTCTCTCTCTCTCTCTCTCTCTCTCCTCTCTCTCTCTCTCTCTCTCTCTCTCTCTCTCTCTCTCTCTCTCTCTCTCTCTCTCTCTCCTCACACACACACATACATACACACACACACACACACACACACACACACACACACACACACACACACACACACACACACACAGACACACACACACACACCGCGGACTCAAGAGTTCTAAAAGACAAACTCAAAGAACTGAACATTTATTGGAGAACATCTTGAGGGCATTAAAACTTTTTTATCGTCAGTGCTATAACAAGGTACCAAGGGAATAAAGTGTACAAGCGGATCTTATTTCCAAGACTAAAAATAGTAACATTGAAAAAAAAAACGAAAAAAAATAAGAAAAAAAAACGAAATAAAAATAGTAAAATTGAAAAAAAGAGAGAAAAGATAAGTAATATGCATATGATTCTAGAAATATCTGACACAAAATAAATATAACGCAATGTGAAGGGAACAATAAAACGTAAGTATATGCACAGAAAAAAGAAAAAAGAAAAAAATGAGAAGGGAAGCTTAGTGGCTGACTTAGGTAGCTACACTCGTGATATTCAGTTTAAACTTCACAAGCGCTTGTACTTTTGCAAGGTCTGTCTGACTGAATTCTAAGGGAGGGGGAGGGAAGGTGGGGGGGGAGGGGGAAGGAGGGAGGGAGGGAGGGGAGGGGAGGGAGAGGGAGGGAGGAGGGAGGGAGGGAGGGAGGGAGGGAGGGAGGGAAGGAGGAAGGAGGGAGGGGAGGGAGGGAGGGAGGAGGGAGAAGAGAGAAAGAGAGAGAGAGAGACAGACTAGAGAGAAGGGCGGGGTACATCGAGAGAGAGACAAAAAAAAAAAAAAGATAAGAGAAAGAGAGAAGGAAAAACAGAAAGAAAGAACATACCTGCATGCATATATGTACCTACATGAATCCCACGTCCCTGATAATCCTAAAGATCACGAAGCACAGACACGTCATAATTATTTTTCGAACCCAAAACAACTTTGCATAGAAATGACACAAGGTCCCGATAGACGGCAAATGTAGGCACCATATTTCCCAAACAAACAACTATAGGAGGCTTTACCTTAATGGAAAAGAGACCGGGGATGTAATAT